CATCTAGGCCTACGACAACTACTAATTTTTAAAATGACAATTGTTGTTTTTGACTTGAGAGAGATTTCCAGGTAAGTGAATATGATTGCTATTTTTTTTTCAATTTAGGAAGGATATAGCACTGCATGCAGAGGGAGGTATACAAATTTACATGGGAACCAGTCATTTCGCCCCCTATAAATTCCGCACTCTAACAAAATGTCTTGCTAGTAGAAAATTATTAGGGCACATAGAAAAAAATTGTTAGATTTATCACTCCTGCCTGAGTAAAAAATTTGGGTGGTGTGACTGGAAATACATTTTCTTTTAAAAACAATAAAATTAAACCACTTTTTATACAATATGTCCATTAATCATTTTGTAATCGCAATTAGTCGAGTACAGCAAATGTTCGATCGATCTGATTTTAAAAAAGTTTTCTGCATCCTGTACAGTAAAGATAGTATAATACATACTCCTAATATCGAAATGCACGCCACCGTNNNNAAATGCACGCCACCGTGTCGGGATTCAATAATTCAACATTAATTATGTCATTAATATATCAAATAAAATATTACTGTAATTAATAACAGTATATTTAAATTTGATTATGATAATAAATATAATATACTGTAATTAATATTAAATGCTTATATTAACCCCTATTACACTATATTGGTTCAATTTTCAGCCAATTTTATAGCTTCTGGCATTGCTACACAATATAGTAAGTAATTAAAGGCACAATTTCTCCTTTAAATGATGCTTCTATGAATAGAATGACCTGATTAAAACACAATATTCTGTACACAAAACCCATGATCAGCTTTTTTATTATACTGTACAGAAATGTACCCATGATGTGTCTACAGTGCAGCAAAATGGATTAAAGTCAATTGCAGCAAAACCAGGTTGTGAAATGCAGTGGGCAAAGCTGAACTACTATAAGTTCAGTACATGTAATAGGTAGGCAATGTTTTACGTTTAGGGGATTTAATTATTATCCAATCTAAATGTAAGGGTGTACAAATATAAATGCACCATCTGGGTAGTTGGCTGAGAGGTATTTGTTCCTGCTTCTTGTGCTGAAGACCCCGCTTCAAGACCGGCAAGTGTCCAATCGCTTGGCTCCTCGATTAACCCTTATATTGAGAGTTAGATGGGAAGGACAATGTCTGTATCCGTTATGTTTGTAGTTGTTAGGTAGGCAAGACTTTTTTATACCTTGTTTAGTGAACCCACCTAACGCAAATATTGATGATTTCGAATAAAATTAAAATTTTATTTTTTGCCAATTAGCGCACCCACCTCCACGAAAAATGGAAATTTCAGGAAAAAAATAGAAGTTTTCTTTATTTTTATTATGCCCTCCACTGCCTTGAAATCTCCAAAGATATTAAAGATACTGTATGTGTATTTATTCCTAATTATATAAATTTGAAGCATTTATCCATCCCATTTTGCATTCAATAACATTTTATTTTTATTTTCTACTCCAGCTAAGTTTTTAGCAAAACTATTTGCTAAATAAGAAAACAAAATTTTATTTTTATTCTGCCCTCTCCTATGATCTACTGTATAAAAAATTCATTGCGCGAAACAAAAAATAAAAAGTCTCGCATTACCGGAATCTGTATACAGACTTGCCTCATAGGTTTCAGCATTTGTTTTTTAGTGGAAGAGGGAATTAAATTATTATTATTATTGACCACTGATGCTCACTATGGAATCAAAATGTAATGCATTTCAGTGAATACATAAAAAGTGCATATGATACAATACAATCACAATTACAATAACTTTAAATTATCTCAATGTATTTTTTTGAAACAGCCAATTCGTAGAGCATTATAGAAGCTTTCAGACCTACTGCAGAATTCAAAACCAACACCTCAAACCCAGGGGCTAGTGACGTCCTTTTTTGCCAGCTTCAAGGATTCAACCATATTTAAGTATTCGAAGGAGCTCACTATCGAATAATTATTTGTTTATACCTTGCGATTTCAAAGCGCTGACGACATCCGAAAAAAATGCTTATGATACCAATGTTATTTGCATGGTGTAAAGTAATAATATACATTTTATATATTAGGTAAATCACAAGATTAATTTCTCACATTAAATATATATTGCTCTTTGCTGTGTAAAAGCACATATAGAGTAGATCTATATTTATTGTTGTGCCAAGTGTCTCATGAAATCTTCTCATATTCATTCCAAAAGCAATAAGCTACCAAGTATCAGTACAATAGATATAAAATTGTGAAGAAATGTGTAATAAACACTAATGATTGTAATAATAAATGGTGTTTGGAGTCCTTTATTTGTTATGTATTGTATTTTTTCATATTTTAAAACAACTGCGGTTCATATGGTGGGTAGCATAAATTTAATTATTTTTGTTTTTACAGTATAGTATGTTGTACATTATAATTGTGTTAAATTTTTCAATCAAGTGTGGGCAGTGTAGCTGTTATTAGCCAAAAAGCCAAATCCTAATAAAACTGAATTTTGCTAAATATATTTTTTATAAACCATAAAGCTGATGGAATTGAAACTTTTGCTGCTTATATTCATTGTTTTGGCAAGTCAAATTTCTGTTTTGCTAATTAATGTCATACCAAATTAGCTAAATTGTGAGACAAAATCTCTTATGCTTTTTTCACTTTGTTGTATCCAGCCATGAAATGTTCCCGTAGTGGGATGAATAGTATCTTTAATAGTATACAAAAGTATCTTTGTATTGTATCCTTGTAAAACTATGTTTTTTTAAATAAAAATTATAATTTAAGTAATTGTAAAATGAAGACAGACTTTGGTGGCTTTGTGTAAGGCCAAAGGAAAAAATATGTTTGTTTGCTCTCCTCAACCCGCCCCTAACTCACTGGAAAAAATAGGGGTGGAAAAACAAAAAAACTTTTTTTTAGCTTTTTCTTTACAATTAAAAAGAAAATGTGAGTGAATTTATTTTCATTTTTTGCCAGATGTGCTACAATCTCAGAATTGCTAATTGGCTGGTAACTTCAGCACTTTCTTAAATGTGTTTTGCTGCTTGTGTGCAACATGTTGCTCAAGTTTATTATAACTTATTTCATATATAGTTGAGGAAGTTTTATTTATTTGGTTTAAATTTGCTAATACCTATCTAGAGCTGATTTGAAAGTTGATTTTTCATTAGAATGGATGACCTCTGTGGGTTATTTTTAATCCATCTGATGAGTATCTTATTAAAAATAATAAATAAATTAAAAAAAAATTTCCACCTACCCCTATATATCATAATTATTTTAAAAAATGGACGGGCAAACAAACAATTGATTTTTTTTTTGGCCTAATTGATCCACACTCTGCTTTTATAATATATATATATTTTTTTGTTTAGTGCACTGCATGCCATGCTGTACATAAATAAATGGGATAGGCCTAGGCTAGGTACCCTCTATACCTATGGGGCCCTACTACTGTACTACTGGCCAGGCTGAGCTGGTTACATACAACAAATACTCTAGGTAGGTAGGGCCTACTTTTTTTAGTTAGTTGGGCCTAGCGAGTTACAATAAACATACCTATCATATCAACAAACCTCTTTTAGCAATACCGTAAAGCCTCTGACAGAAACCCTAAATAGTTCCTTATTTGCATTTTAGGGTGGGTTACAATTAGGCCGGCCTAGGCCCTAGAGTACGTGCGAGGACACCGCCGGTATGACGAGCCTCGTATCGGCCTGTGAATTTTCTGTTTATCACTTGGTGACGCTACGAAAAGTTTGACGACGTTTTTGTTTTGTGTCTTTCTGAATGAATAGAACGCAATACTCGGCAAATAATTATTATAGCAACTATTGGTAAACTTTATAGTTGCCTAAAAATAATATTTCGACAGTTTAATGGTTCCATATATCCCGAAAAATGCATTTTTGTTTCGTGTAACTCCTAGGCTAACTTTATGTACTATTGCACTGTCGGCGTCCATCACGCAACAGGGGCAGACTGCGCCGGTGTCCGCGTAATAAAGATTAAATATTTGGCCTAGTGCGCTCGCACTTGCAAAATCTGAGGCGGCAGCCTTTTAATGAGATAAGACGAAAATTTTCGTCTTAAGGCAGGTATGTTTTCATCTTAAAGTTAAGACGATTTTAAGCAAATTTTAAGCAATTTCTAAGCTAAGCAATATTGATAAATCTGACTTAAGCAAAAAAATGGATTTAAGACGAATTTAAGCAAATTTTCTTGCTTAGCAAGTTTGATAAATCCGCCCCCTGGTATGTATCCCTACACAAATCAGTTGAAATCTGCTTCTTCCTAATTTTTTTTCGTAGATTAAGTCTAATCTTGGGATACTATTAGTCATTCCACATGTTAAGTTTAAATAAAAAGTGGGTTTGAACTATAGACGAATGGTGAATAGTGGAGAAAATTGGTATGATGTCTATTACTGTGTTGTTGATAGTCTTGTCACAAGGGCTGGCAGATCCAGATTTTTTTTTCAAACGGTGGGGTGGGGGCACAACAATTTCAAAATAGATAAGTGAGTAGCACATAACATTAATATGCATTGACATTTTAAAAATTTAGTGGCAAAACTGTAGGGGGTCACATGCCTCCCCATATTATTATATGTAATAATAATTTAAATTTTATGGTGAATAACAATTACAATTACAGATTACTCCCATTTACAAATATAAGGCCTATCGTAAATCTACAAATACAGTTACAACACTATAATTTAATTACAAATACAATTTGCCTTTTCAACTGGAAAACCATAACTGGAGACAAAAACCGTTAATTCAATGAAACGTGCGAAATTCTATAGTTTTAAAGTGCTTGTTGCGGCCATCTGTTAGGCGGATTTGCCAAGATTGGAATTCAAACATGGAATATTTATCAAAAAGTACCAAAAACATTTCTCAACTTTAGTGCACAGAGTATTTTTTGCATTTAAAACAAACAAATACAAGAATGGGATGATAAATTTGCGCTTGTTATAATTCGCACTAAATGCATCCGCTCGAACAGGCATCCGCTCGAACTGACATCCGCTGGAACTGTCATTCTCTTGATTTGACTGCCATTCACTAGCTGTGTGCATCATGTCTTTCACAAATTTCGTATCTACAGCTTGTAATTTTTAAGTCTCAAAAATGGGTCACTGCATATGCGAAACTGGATGGTGTAAAAAGCATACAGGAACTACTGTACTGAGCGTAACAATAGCCACTGCGTTCTTATTAATTATTAGTTATTTATTTACTTTATCATCAACATCATCTGATCAGCCTGTCATGCCACTGGTGGCTGATGGCCTCCTCAAACTCCATTCTGATCTGTTCTTTGTCAGATTTGCCCAGTTCGCACCAAGCTTCTTTTGGAAAAGATCACTCAATCTCTTGTTAGGTCTTTCTCTTTTTCTTTTGTGTCTGTATGACTTCCATACTGTTAACTTTTTGGCCCACCTGTTATGGTCCATGCGAGCTACAGTACATGGCCTGCCCACTCCCACTTTGTTATAGACAGTTTTTTGCCTTTCTTATAACTTCATTTTTCCACTTATCAAGTCTACTGATACTGATATTTATTTATATATTTATTCTTTATAAAACCTTCCTTTCCTAATTAACTGTAATTATTTATTAATTTAAATATGAAATTATCTGTCAAGAAATATATATTTTTAAGTTTGTTTATTATTATTAATTGAATTTGTTTATATTATTAAACTCAATTTTTTATCCTAAACTCATATATATTTTTTTATTTTTCATTTATTAAATAATTATATTTTCGACTGCTGTACTGTATTTTGTTCAGTTGTTTAAAAATTTCTTCATTTCATCTTTAGTAATTGTATTTATAGTAATATTTTAAGAACTATTTAATGATTTCTAAGTTTATTTTAGTAATTCATTAAATTTTTTGAAGTAGTTTATTAACTGATTCATCCTTGCATTATAAATCAACAATTGATTATAACTCGCTTATTTAATTATTTATTCATTGTCAGTTTACTACAGGTGTCTAAAAATCTATTTTTGCTATATATATTTCTTAGGTACCCAACTTCAGCTGAGTATTCAAGTATAGTGGAGCAACTACTAACCCACAACAAATATCATCCAATACCTCAAATCACAAAGGTAGGCCTACAGTTTATTATTACTGTATGCATGCATTCTTTACCCATTAGCACCTATAGTTGTAATGTATTGTAGTCAATTACTCCCTAGAGAGTTTGCTGTATGTGAAAGAAATTAGACCCTACTACATATAAACTAATATTTTTTTTATTGTTGAAAATGTTCCATTACAAGTTGTTTTTATTTTGATGAATATTAAATAAGCGTTCCAGTGACACAAAATATTTTGACCTTTGATTTTGAAGTTGTGACCTTTGACCTATCATAGTTAACATTTCATCCAAAATTCGCAATTTTCTTTGAATTAATAATTATATTAATGATTTTGAATTTACATACACTACTAAATTGTATAATTATTTTATTGAGTGACATCAATTATCTGACCTTTGACTTTGATATATTGACCTTTGACCTATTCAACTTGTATTTGTCCTTTATTGGTTTTTTCCAAAAAAAAAAAATATTATCAGCATGTCCCTTTTCTAAATTTTGCATAAATATAAGCCCATAATTATTTAATATGATACTTGGTTGCTTAGGCATGTAAATAATAGTTACGAAATGGATGGTGGTGTGTCAAAATAATAATTTCTAACCTTCAAAACATTTGTTGTTAACAATATCAACCGTACATAAAGGCCGGGGACACAAGCTCTGTTTTGACAATCACCATCGCTAGCCTAGCCTATGCCTGCCTGCTGTGAAAGCCTGTAAATAAGAGTTACTATACTGTATATACTATAATACTATAATTTTATGACCATATTATTGTTTGGTTAACCTATAATATTACTAACCTATGAAACACCTATGTCGCTGTTGGCAGACAAATGAAGGTCAATTTATCATTGAAAATGTCTTCCCTTTCTATAAGACGTTCAGCACTTGCTGTGGTGTTATTGTTGTGCGAAGTCAGGCGAATCAAAACTTAGCTTCTTCTCAACAGTTTGACTTTGAACGCAAATTATGTCATTTTTCAAATAGAAACCTCATTGGATGATGAGATATTCTGAAAATGGATTTTCCAAAGTTTATGTAGACGTTTTTCGCGACACGCTACAGTTTGTAGAACAGAAGTTATAGCGGGTTGAATAGCCAGGCCGGTTTAAGGCGGTCTAGGGAGTGTTGCGCAGGGCGGTTTGGGGCATCTAGGTCCTAATGGGTTAAATTAGTTGTACATATTGCACAGACTTGCACATATTAGAATGCAGGATCCTCATTACATAAAGTCTAATACCCCTTTCAGACAGACCTGCAAAACGGTATTAATACCGTATTACTCGAACGCCGGCGTTCTATGTGAAAGGGTAAATATGCCTAAACGCCGGCTTCAGTTAGACCTCCAAGGGGACCTAGTGTTAATACCGCATTAATATCGTAGCGAGTTTTGCCCAACTCGATGTGAAAGGGTACAGGGTTCATCACCGTCTTACGCACAAGGCATAACAAATCAGATGGTTACACGATCGAGCAGCCATCAACCGCTGCTGTAGCTAACAAAGCCGATGGAAACGCTAGCTGACAGTACTTTTAGACGCGAAAATCGCCTGCACCTATCTGCTCGAAATTCAAGCCGGCCTCGCCTTAAAAAACGCTTCCTAAATTCTTTCTTCCCTTGGACGAAACGCATTAGAAACCTTCTGTTTCTCAATTTATATGTATTGCAAACATAGCAAGCATTAAAAAACATTTGCAAAGCAACAGTTTTATGACTTCATCCCCGGCCATATTGGATTAATGGAGTAAACAAAAACTTGCGCCCTCTTTGTTAACAAGCACAAGCGCCACAGACATCAAATACTCCTTTCCGCGAGAACCCTTTCAGACAGGATACGGTATTATTACCGTATTTTAAATAGCTGTGTGAAAGGGTCTGCGCCGGCAATAACGGCGGCGTGATTAGGGTATTATTGCGGTATTTTCTGTCTGAAAGGGGCTTAAGCTACCTCTCTGATTGTTTTGAGCATGGAGTCTATATTACACTTAGTTCCAGATATGCTTGCATGACTGGTTTACCAAAGGT